GCTTAAAAAGTGGGTGGATACAAACCTGATGACATTCAATACCAACAAATGCAAGGTGCTCCACCTTGGGAGAAAAAGCCCACAGCACACTTATAGGCTCAGCAGCGCTTCGCTCACTAGCACCATGGCCGAAAGAGACTTGGAGGTCATGATTGACCACAAGATGAACATAAGCCATCAATGCTATTTCACAGCAGGTAAAGCAAACCAAGCTCTGGCTTGCATCTGTAGATGCTTCTCAAGTAAATCTCAGGATGTCATCCTCCCTCTGTACTCAGCCTTGGTGAGGCCACAGCTGGAGTACTGCATCCAATTCTGGGCTCCACAATTCAAGAAGGATGTAGAGAAGCTTGAGAGAGTCCAGAGGAGAGCCATGCACATGATCAGAGGGCAAGAGAATAGGCCTTATGACAAGAGGCTGAGAGCCATGGGACTCTTCAGCCTGGAAAAGTGCAGGCTCAGGGGTGACCTAGTGGCAGTCTATAAGTACATCAGGGGTGTGCATCAGAATCTGGGGGAATGCCTGTTCGCCGGAGCGTCCCAAGGGATGACAAGGTCCGATGGTTACAAACTTCTCCAAGACCATTTTAGACTGGACATAAGGAAAAACTTCTTTACTGTCCAAGTTCTCAAGGCTTGGAATAGACTCCTTCCAGAGGTGGTGCAAGCACCTACTCTGGACTCTTTTAAGAAATGTTTGGACACTTATCTTGCTGGGATCCTTTGACCCTAGCTGACTTTCTACCCCTGGGGCAGGGGGCTGGACTCAATGATCTTCCGAAGTCCCTTCCAGCCCTAATGTCTATGAAATCTATGAAATCTATGATAGATAGATACATAGATAGATTGCTATCTCCATCAGAGATAGATCAGATCGCAACCATAACCATGGTATTGCTCTCCTGTCTATAGCTGGAAGATCCTCATTTGCATTCTCATCAATAGACTCATTTTCCTCACTGAGGAGATTCTACCGGAATCCCAAAGTGGTTTCAGATCACTCAGAGGTACAATAGATGTGATTTTTTTTCTAGACAGCTGCAAAGAGAATTGCCTCAAACAACACCAAGATCTTTAGAGGGCCTTCATTGACCTAACTAAGACCTTTGATTCAATTAACATGGAAGATGTTATGTTATCTTATGGAAGATTGTGATGGGATTTGGATGCCCACCAAAATTTGTTACCGTTCTTTCACAATGATATGACAGAAACCATCCTAAGCAATGGCTCAGAAATAGACCCCTTCACTATTAGAACTGCAGTCAAGCAAGAATATCTTGCCAGCATTCTTTTCTATCTGTATTGCAGCTATTCCACATCTCAGTGGTGACAGACTTTCATCTGAATTCAGCATCCACTATTGCATGGCTGGGTATCCCTTTAACATCAACTGGTTATGTTCCAAATTCAAGATAACCAACACCTCCATTACTATTCTTTAATATTGTATCATGTGTGCCCACTCAATTGAAGAGCTCCAGGTCACTTTTGATTGCTTCTATGAAGCATATCAGATTCTTGAACTCATCATCAACTTCATAAAAATCAATACTTTGCCAACCCACTCCAACCACCCAGCTGCTCCTCCACACATTACAATTAGAAGGCAATCCTCAGAGAATATTGAGCATTTTCCCTATCTGGGTAGCCACCTTTCCTAAAAGATAAACATGGACAATAATATTCAATGTCAGATAAAATTTGCCAGTGCTGCTTTTAGATACGTTGTCATCCCTACCTGTTGTATGGGTGTGAAACTTGGATGACATATCAGAAACACTGGAAAACTTTGGAATGTTACCATCAGTGGTGTCTTCAGAAAATCCTTAGTATCAATGGGAAAGAAAAGAATGAATGCCAGTGTTCTGGCTCAAGCAAATGCCACCAGGATTGAAGCCTTGTTTACACAGCACCAGCTTCATTGGACAGGACATGTCAAACATGCCTGACAACCAGCTCCATAACAGAACCTATACTCCCAATTCACCAATGGTCATCCCTCTAGAACAGTGGTTCCCAACCTGCGAATCATCACGGGAGCGGGACAGGGCGCATGGAGTTGCCTGCTTCCCTCCCAGGGCTGTCTCACTGCCTAGCTTTAACCCCACATGTGACTGCTGGTGGAGGATGCCGCTTGCCCGGACAGACAGGTGGGGGTCTGAGCAGGGGGGGCTTGTGCCATGACCCAGCAGCCAACCCTTCACAGCCCACTTCTGGGCTGTGGCCTGGTGGTTGGGAACCTCTGCTTTAAAGGTGCACACACAAAAAATAATTCAAAAGCAACTTGGAGGCCAATCTGAAAAAATGCAATATTAACACCAACACCTGGGAGACTCAACTAATTAATTGTCCCCAGTGGTGTTGTGATGTACAACAAGACATCAATCATTTTGAGCAAATCACCTCATTATGGAGGCAGATAGATGAGAGAGACAAAGGGAGAGATCTGTGATCCAACATCACCAGGATCAACTCTTTCCTCCCAGAAGTATTTGCCACATTTGCAGTTGAACATGTGGATCTCTGATCAACCCCCTCAGTTATCTAAAGACTCATTGAAGTCTTCTAGTAAATAGGCAAATCAGTTGTGCTTGTACTTAGGGACTGCTGACAATGAATGAAAACTGTATGCCTTGTGCCACATTTTCCCTTGGTGCACAGTATGCCTCAAACACATTTATTAAGATTTCTGTTTTTTCTTTATCTGCTGCATCCTCAGACTGATGAGCATTAAATTGCTCTATTGTTTCTCCTCCTGCATCCTCAGACTGATGAGCATTAAATTGTTTTATTGTTTCTCCCCCAGCCACAGAAAGAAATAAAGCTGGTTTTCAGCCATTCATCTTTGTTGTCTGCACCACTCACAGTACAGGGAATTTGTTCAAACTTTTGCTTCTATTTTCTCCTGACTTCTGCTGCATTTCCTTCAAACACGCACTTGCCTACAAGGTTTAGCTAGTCTATTTTTTGCATCTTGTCTTTAGTAGTTCCAGTTTCTAATCAGATGCTAAGGAATATCTGCACTGTATGCACTAGATAAAATACTAAACAATTTTAATCTATGTTATAAACTCTACTAAACATGTAAGTTAACCCATGCACACACATATGGGTGGCTAGCCCTGCCTGCACAGCTCCCCATCTCACATGTAATCTAGCTCCTTTCCATACAACATGCTCTGTTAATGGAAATTCCCACACTAGAGCTAGTATTATTATGAACTTCACTTCATAAATCTATTGAATACAAAAAATCACGGACTTAATATAGGGATGTAGGTTGTAACTTCCTTAGCCTGACAAAGGGTTTTTGAACCCAAAAGTTTGCTTAATAATTGTTTTCCAACTATTTAAGTTGGTCTAATAAAAGATATCAGATTCACCCAAAGAACCTTGTCTGCCTATGGACTTAATATAGACATTGAATTTATAACAAGTTATAACCTGCCTTACATCTGATTCTGCCTTTTGCTGACTACCTACATTCCTTCACACTTTTCCCTCTGTCCCCCACTCCCCTCCTATCTCTACCCTTTGTCTTTCAAACTTCCACTCATTTGCATCTTCACAGACTTGTTTAGTTTAGCCTTTTTTCTGTCTTGGAGAACTCATAACAGCAGCAGTCTCCCAGTGCCTGAAGAAGGGTTTTTGTGCCTGAAAGCTTGCAAAGAACTTTTTTCCAACTATTTAGTTGGTCTAATAAAATATATCACATCTACCTAAAGAACTTTTCCTGCCTATTATTACAAAAAGGCATTCTTATTTACTAATACTGTGTTTATGCTAGTTTCAGCATATTTCGAAACAATGGTAATAATCTTTAGTTTACAAGACCATTCATACTCTCTTTCCCATTTTGCCTAAGTAGATGTTTGTTTCTCTTGCCTCCATTTTACTCTATTGCCCCCTGAAACCCTTTATGTCCAGGACTCTTCCATGTTCTATATGACTCAGCCCCATTCTCCTCTTCCCCCATGTTCCCTGTTCCATTCTTTCCCTCTTGTCAGGATCAATGTACAGCCCTCTGACCTCTCCCATATACCTTGGTCTCCTGTACTTTCCATATGCAGGAGTCATAAGGGGCTCTGTGTACCCCTGCTACCCTCTTTGCCACATACTAGGGCTTTGTGTACTCTCTGCTCCCTGTATGATTGCTCCTGCCTTAGCCTATTCAGGTGTGGAAGGTCACTTAAACTCTACGGCTTCTGTAGGTTATGCATGTTGCACATGCTGGGGTCTCCATAAGTCCCCTTGTTCTCCCCAGACTTGTAACTTGTTAAATGATTTCTTTCTTTTTTTTCCGTCTGGGAGATAAGTAATTGAGGGTGTCAACATTTTAAATCCCATTGGAAGATTGAGCAGAACAGAGATGAGGGACACCCCACATTGAAAGGTGTTGATAGCTGCTATCAACCACTACTTACATCTAAGACTTAGACCCAAATTATTACAAGAATTCTATCCCCTGTGTGGATGAAGATAATGTTTTATTTTTAATGTGTGTCATGTGACTTGTGTTGTCATTACAGTGGGATAGACAAGCAGATGATTTGTGCCATTTTTACTCAAAGATCAGTGGGGCAAAATGGATGAGACTCGGGTTCATGTCCCAGACTCTGCCTGCAGTGATCTTAGCCAATGTTCCAGTTACCTCGTTTGTAAAATGTGCACAGAATAACCATTTTCCCAATAGGCTGGTGTGTAGCCTTGATTAAAAGTGTTGTGAAGTACATGACAATATTAGGAACAATAAGTAGGACACATGCAATTACCATGGAGTTTTTCTGTTACTCCTCAACTTTCAAGGTGTCAAGATTGTTTAAGGGGTGTAGATTGTTTAACATACTTTTAACTCAGGGAGAGGTAAGAATGGTTAGGACCTTACAGGAGATGCTAAGTAATTTTAGAGGCAGAAAGTATTATTTTTGCAGGCTGTTGAAGAATTTTCAAATTCTAACAGTTTGATTTCTTTTTTTATTTTCCTTTGCACTAGTGCCATGGAACTGTATGAATTCTTTCTTCATTTGATGACATTTCTCCCAGGTAGGAGACACCATTTTAATTGTTAAGACTGTGCTGACTAGCTACATTTGCTGGGCTCCTACCAGTTCCAAACATACTTATAATGATTTCAGTTTTAAAATCAAATCCACCTATTCTATGTGAAACATTATATCTAAATTATGTGGCAGAGCCTCAGTATCACTTGGATCATATATTTTTATGTCAAAATCATTTTTATGCTGCTTTTACATTTTCATTTTTAACATGTCTCAGAAGTTTGCATTGGTGAATAATTATATCAGCAAATGTCAGGGTGAAGCTAGAAGTCTTGATCTCTGAACTATGGCAACTGAGGCTGCATTTAGGAAGGTGAGAGTTCTGTTTGTTATCCATGAGGCAGTTCAGTCTTTTGGTTCCTGGGAAAAGATACATCTCTTGTGTTCCTCCTCCTTTTAGGCAGGGCAGAGGTGCCTATACGTTCAGAGTAACAGGGGTATAGGTTGTAGCCGTGTTGGTTTAAGGACATAGGCAGACAAAGTTCTTTGGGTAAATCTGATATCTTTTATTAGACCAATTCAAATAGTTGGAAAAATTCTTCTTTGCAAGCTTTCAGGTCTAAATACCCAAAAGCTTACAAAGAAGAATATTTCCAACTATTTGAGTTAGTCTAATAAAAGATATCAGATTTACCCAAAGAACCTTGTCTGCCTATACATTCAGAGTAACACTTTCCATTCCATTACACATTCCAGTAACACTTAACAGCAACTATCTCCCCTCAGTATCTGTCACTATATCCAACAATGGTAGATAAACTTGTTTAAATGAGAGAAATATAAGGCATACTGTAACTAGCAGTGTAAATCAGGGAGTAACTCAACAAAAGTCAGTTTATAGGTGTGCAAACAATTTTTGTCCACCAGCTAGCTATTTCTGATAAAACGATTGGCAGTGAAATTGGGTGGATGTTTAATAGGGGTGTGCGAAGTGGGCTCTATTTGATTCGGATTCAGCCTGAATCAGGGACAGTTGTTTCAGATTACTGTCCCTGATTCAGTTCAGCCGAATCTGAATCTGAAAATTCAATGCTGATTCAGAGAATCAGAGATTCAGACACAGACACAGCTTTAAATGTTTCTTCTACATACCTCGAGGTACCAGCACAGCTCATGACTGCTGTGATGCTGGGGCAGATGAAGCATCCCACGGGAGTGCAGGGGGGCCTCAATGACTGGAATTACTTCCAGTCCACTTCCAGGTCCACCAGGGAGAGTGCTGGGGGTCCCTCCTGCCTCCCCGGCTCAGCTATTGGCCACAAGGGGACCCTGGGTGCCCCCCCAGACCCAGGAGATACCAGTCGCTGAGCCAAGGGGGCACAGGGGGCCACCCGCACACTCCGTGGCAGACCCAGAAGTGGACTGGAAGTACTTCTGGTCCACTTCTGGGTCTGCTGCTGTGTGTGCTGGGAAGCCCCCTGTGTTCCCATGGAACGTTCCATCCACCCCACCATCGCAGTGTTCATGAGCAGCCTGCTACCTAGAGGTATGTAGAAAAAACATTTAAATCTATGTCTATATCTGAATCGCCGAATATTTCCAAATCTCTCTGAATCGGCTCGGAGGGTTCCGATTCAATTCAGAGAGATTAAAGGGTCCTCTGATTTGGTTCAGATTCAGAGATTCGGCCACCGAATTGGGCTGAATCTCTGCCAAATCGAATCAGGGACCAAAGCTTTGCATAGTCCTAATGTTTAACCTGTTGTTAGACTCCAGGTGAATGCTGCACTGAGACAGGAGCAGTTCATATCTCTAAGAACTATTGTTTCATACAATCTAAAGACTTAGAGCAACATCACTGAATCAGACACACTTGGCTCAAATCCAGTTTTGTACTTAATTCATAAACACTATTGCTAGAGTATCTGGATGAAAAGGAAGCTGAAATGATAGATCCCAGCTAACTGTCTACTTAAAACCAGTTGTAGCTATGTAAACTTTTGCACAGTTAGAGAATCACATCAGACATGAACAGAACTTCATATTTGCTCCTCTTCAGATGAGAATAATAGTCTTTTTACAAGTCTTATTACTTGGCTTTACAACACCTTCATGAAGTTGGGAGGCAGAGACAGAAAGTGAGACTTATGCTGTTCTCACTTCACTGACATGTAACTAGAGTGAGGTAGGTGTTGGTTTTCCCAGAATGGTTTCCTTGGCAAAGTCCATGTGCTGGTATGAAGATACCTGCATGGTGGAGGCTTTATAGCCTACTTTCATGGCATTCACCATGGTGGGAGCAGATCCTAGACAGGGGCTTACTCTCATTTCTGGAAGCTTGATTCTTCTTTTCTGCTCTAAGGTGCTGCTGTCAACATGCTTCAGGAGAAAGCATTTGTCAATCATACTGCATACTTACGATGTAATTTTCACAATCCTGACAACATTGATGTGAAGGAACTGATAGTTTTTTGGCAAAAGGAGTCAGAGGTTGTGAATGAGGTATATCGTGGGCAGGAGCTATCCGACAACCTTGATCCTAAGTACATAAATCGCACAATGATGGATATGAACACATGGACTCTGTGTCTTCTAAATGTTGGGATTATGGATGAAGGGCAGTATGTGTGTATTATACAACACAAGAAAAGCAGCGGACTGGAGAAGATATATGATTCCAAGTCCCAATTGTTTGTTATTGGTATGTATTCACTAGTGTCCTCCATCTACTGGTATCTTTGTTTCCATTTCATCTTTTCACTGCCCAGGAGAGCATGCTGTACTCTTGAATCACTAGATATATACCTTAATTTCTAAAACTGACAGTCTGCCACCCCAGTAGAATTTCTGAGTCCAGATAGCTGGATATTTTTAGTGGAGGGCTCTCCATTTTGAAATAATATTTACACTTACATAGGGCTTTCTGACACTAACCAGTGAACGTTTATAACACCCAGGTGAAGTTGGGCAATGTTATCATGCCTTGCGAGACTAACTGGGGCACAGAGAGGATAATGATTTGTTCAGATTCACACAGTTCCTGACTCTCCCCCAAGACACTCCACACTTCTTTTTAGGACACTCTGTAACACATGCTTCCTGAATTTGGGTTTTTGCGTTTGATTTGTATTTGCTAGGGTGCCAATGTCTAAGTAGCCATAGGTTTGTAGTGAACTACTGGCAAGAGTCATTGAAACAATTTAAGTTCTTTTTAGGCACTGTGAGATTATGTTGTGGATATGAATAATTGGAAAATAAATCTAAAAATAAAGGGAAGTTTATGCATGGAGTAATAGACGCTTACTCCAAAGAAAAATGGAAGCATTACTGAGAATTACACTGATTTCTGCAGGTTGACAGAGTAATATTTAGTATATTCTATTTAGGCAGTCAGTCTGGCCCTGCACATGGCAGGGAGAGAAGCTCCTGAACAAAAGCCTGAAGAGGAGTGTGTGGCGACAGCCTTGCTGCCCTGAGAAGGCACTGAGGGCCTGCAGAAGAATACAGTTCAGAGTAGGGGAAAGTTTTGCTGTACAGCCAGCAAGCTGAGGTTTATATTTGGACCCTGTGTGTGGACAGTTTGCATTATAACCAGTAGGCTTATATTAGTGCACTGGATTGTGACTATCAGGGGAGGAGAAGATCACAGTGCTGCATGAGGGGCATGTGGCTATCTTGAGGCCTACCAGGATCTGGGTTCAAGGCATTGAACAGTGGCAAAGAGGGCCAGGGGTCTAAAGCCCAAGAGGGGCAAGAAGCCGGAGAGGGCAAGAACCAGGGCCAGACCCAAAGCCGGGGAGAGTGGAAACCAGAACCCAAGAGGGCTAGACTAGGCCTGGAGCCCAGAAGCCAGGTCAGGGCAGTGGGCCTAGGGTAAATGCCCACCTAGAGCAAATGGGGAGAATCCAGAAAGGCCAAGACCCCAACAAGGGAGTAGAGGCCTGGTGCTGTTTTGAAGGCAGACTGCCCTACCTAAGTTATGACCCATAGCTTCCATAAGGTATGGATGTGGCTGTAGGGGAGGTCGGAGACCACAAAACTAGCCCTTAAGTCAATTAAGCATGCTAGAGTATGGATGGGCTGGGATGACCCCACCTAGTGCCTGTAGGCAGGACGGGGATTAGCAGGGTTCAGGGGGAACCCACAGACTAGTAGTAGACCAAGGCTTGCTCTGGCACCCTGGGGGCAACCTCCCTTTTTCCTCATAAATAATACCAGTGTCACAGGGCACTAAGGTGCCTGCTCCTTTAAGAGCAGAAACTGCCTAGGGAGAGAGCCCTAAGAGCCAAACAGAAACCCCACAGGTGCAGGTTACTATGGCAGCAGGCTAACAAGGGAATTAGCCTGCACCTGCACCCAGAAGAAGGCAGGGCCCTGGGCACACATAAACCCCAGGGCTGAGACCAGCTGGAGTTAGTTCTTTGGCAGCTGCCAGGGGAAGGAGCCTTTAGGGAAGAATTGCCCAGAGACACTAGTGGCCACCTGATATGCTGCATATAGGCCTAATGGGGCTCCAGGAGCTCACCAAGTACCCTGGCCTACAAGACACTTAGTGGTGGGGGGGAAGTTTGACTCTTTTAAAGGGACAGAGCACACCCTGAACTGCTTGTATTATGTTCTGGCCCAGGGCTCATATTTTGGTTGCTGTTTATAAACCAATGGACCAGGCTGAGGCTATTGGGAAAGGAAGAGGCCTTATTGGGGCACACTACATGTGGGGACCCCAGCACCAGTGGGTGCAGTGCCAGGGGGCACAGTGACAAAGGGGTGAGCAGACCCCAGCGCCAGTGTGGGCGCAGAGACAGGGCTGAGGAGAGCCCAGTGATGACAGGAGGCTGAACTAGACTAAGGCCTCAGAGAGACAACATTTAAATACTATCCATGAGGCTTGGGGCATGGTAAAAGGGCAGTTTTGGAGCCATGCATCTAGCTCATAAGGCTGAGGGTGTCCCGTGAGGCATCCATTTTAAGCGAGACCCAAAAGGGGTCCAAGAACCCACAGGGTTCAGTGGGGTCCATCAGGACTGTGTCCAAACACAAACTCGAGGGCAGCCTCCCTATTTCTTATAATTACCAGCAAGATGTGGCAGGTGAGGAAAAGGGTGCCCATTGGGCAAGATTGACACAGAGCCCTAGGGGTGTCACGGCCATCCCTGGGGACCCCATCCCATGACAACCAGCAAAGTATGGCAAGCAAGAGAGAGGAAAGGAAAGAGGTCTGCCCTGACTCAGAGAGATGGAGCAGGGCAGGAGTCACAAGGCCACCAGGGGGCATCACGGCCACCCCTGGGGCTCAGTCCTGCTATATTTGGGTTCAGTAAAAGAGAAAGAATCACAAACACATTGTCACTGGGAAGAGAAGACCAATAACAGAGTAAACTGAAAGAGGCCAAGGCTTGAATATTTTCGCTATCTTTGCACTCTCCTTTTTGGTTATAGTTAATTATAGAAGTCAATACTTTATTGAAATGCCAGCTTCCCTGGCTAGAAGGTTTTTATTCTATCTATATACCAGCTGCCAAGTTTGGGGGATTACATTTTGAATGAAAGAGAATTTAAAGTCTCCTTTGCCATAGATTTTCTCCTATCACAATGTCTGTGAACTAAAGTGTTCAACTGAAGGAAACCCCAAGACAATAAACAGATTTGGATCATATCTTCTTTTACAATATCTTGTGGGAATTCCGCCTTCTATTTGCATGTACACAACATCCCTGGGACAAAAATGGCAATTGCTTACAGTGAAAACATATTGAGAAACTCATTAGTTATTGTTAGTTGTTTAGCTGGTAGCTCCAGTCCGTGCTTTGGCATCATTCTGTTTCTACAGCAACCTGTATTAATAAAGATGGCAAAACTGGTGGCTGCATTTACAGGCTTCAAGGCCTTCCTCAGTGTTAAAAAAAATAGAATTGTAACAGCAGCTGGAAATGTGGAGAGAGAGAGCATATGATTCACAAACCACTGCTCTAGTGATTGTGTAGTTGGACAGTCTACTCACCTCCAGAATCCTGACTGCTAATCTCAACAGTCTCAGTGATCAACAATGTGGAATGTGGTAAGGCACTTAGGTCTACTGTTTGAACGTCAGTATATTAAACCAGCACCTATATCAATACTGAGGCACCTAAAGACAAATTCAGGAGGAGCTGACATCAGCGAAGCTTTATCTGTGGTGAATCTGGCCAGTGTCTGAGCAGGTATTAATAGATGGCTCAGATGTAAGCACAACAAATTCTCTCAAACTTTTCTGGTTCATTTCAGGAGCTCAGATTTAAACCACTTACTGCTGCATTTCTTCTGTGCAGCTTTCCCAGTCAGGAAAGGAGAAATATACAAGCAAAGGTTTATAAAAATTATGCTTTAAAAATTGAGTAATTTTCAATTAGAACTAATTTAATTAGAATTAATTAGTATTTAATTAATCCATCTAATTAGAATTAATTAGGATTGCTATGTATATGCTTCTAAAACTAAATGTTTTGAACTAACTTTTTTGTTAGTTTCCTAATATTTAGTAAAATATTATCTCTTACCAGGAATTTTTCCTGTGAAAGTTTCACACTTAAAGTGGATGCAACATAAACTGTCACAGAGTAGTAAAAAATAACGCTAGGGCAGTCACACAGACTGCTCTGGATTACTTGGCAACTTGGGCCCATTAAGGAAAAAGAGTATTTTAATACAGTTCCATACAGAGTTATACATCCAAGAACAAAGAATGAAGGCTGTACCTATGGAGTAGAGGCCTGCATCTTTGAAAGGAACAACTTTTGAAAAGTATTTAGAATTACAGTGGTCAAGCAAACCAACATGAGCTCCTGATAGCAACCTGATGCTAGGACAAAAAGGCTGGGACCCTGGGATGTAACAACCAGAGACAGGAATAGGAATACCTTCTGTTCTAACATGAGAAAAAGTGTTTGTAATGCAGTGTTGCTTCCTGATCTTTCTGTCTATTCATTCCACTGCAAGCTGGGCAGTGTGCAGTGACTGTAATACTCTTGCCAGATCATGACTCAGTCTTTGAGCCTAATAGTAGGTCTGTGCGAAACAGCTAGTATTCGCTTCGGATTCGGCTGATTCGGGGGATAGTGATTCGATTCGGTGATTCAAATCACTGTCCGAATTCAATTTGGCCGAATCGCTGAATCAGCCAGGCTAGGCCCATCTCCCACCCTTCTCCCAGCCCAGAAATGGCTGCCCCAGCTCCCAGCACTTGTGTGGAAAAAAGAAAAAAAAAAAGCCCCAGCTCACCAAGTGCTGCTTGGAAGGGGGCGATCCCTGCTGCCCCCACTGCATGGGGGTCTCTGCATGAGCCCCGCCCCCCCCCCCCCCCCCCAGCTCTCCTCACATGGGCCAGCTCTGGCCCTTTAAGAAAAAAAAAACCCTGAAAAAACCTCAGTACTCACTGCTCTCTCTGGCAGGGGGCAATCCCTGCTGGCCCCCACTGCCCTGCATTACATGGGGGCTCTGGATGAGCCCCTGAAGCCCCAAGGCCACTGCAGGAGCTGTGAGTTCTGGTGCTTTTCTTGTTTTTGTTTTTTTTTCTTAAAGGGCTGGAGCTGGCCCGGGCAGGGCACCCATGTGGGGGCTAGGAGAGCAGGGGGGAGTCGGGGGCTCATGGGCCGGGCCCCCCCCGGGAGTGGGGGGGAGGAGAATTGCCGCGCCCTGCCTGGCAGTTCCTGGTGAGCACCGGGGCTTTTCTTTAAAGTACTGAGCTGGGGTGGGCAGCAATGGGGGGACTGGGGGAGTGGGCAGGGGGCTGGGGGGCCTGGCAGGAATCTTTTCTGAAGATTTGGAGAGCTTTGAATTGATTCAGACCTTTAAATTGGTCCCCTGATTCTATTCAGATTCAGAAATTCGGCCACCGAATTGAGTCGAATCTCCTCGGAATCGATAGTGCTCATCACCCTCCCACTGCCCCCCTCCCCCAGGCTTCTAGTATACACGTAACTGAAGAATGGCTTTCTAAATGTCTTGATGACTTGCTCTTATATTCATGGTCACCTTGATTTACACTGCTCAACCCAAAAAGAACCAGCAAAACAGGGCAGTTCTGATGCTTCCTCATAACTCCCCATCATGGCTTCTGGTCAGTAAATACCTTTCTCTTTTTTCCATTGGAATAAAAAGGTGATGAGCTGAATTTGCTCCTTATAACAACTCTAAACCTTGGCTGGGAGTTAGTTAGAAGAAAACAGTCCACGGCTTGGCTTCAAAAGGCCTTCTCTTGGGGCACTACAGTACTGAGGCAAAGGAGAGTATGGCTGGGGGACACTGCCAAGAGAAGGCAAAAGAAGTAAATACCCCATGACAGGCTTCAGGACCATTCCCTGGGCAGACCCACTTCTGTCCCTGAGAACCTTCAGCGGCAAGTAGAAATAATGTGTGTGACTCATGGTGCTTTTTTCTGATCTGTTTTTAGCTAACTACAGTCAGCCAGAAATAGTGAAGCTACACAAGGGAACGGTAGAACCTGGCACAGCTTTGAATCTCTCCTGCTCCTCCAGCTGGGGCTATCCAGAGCCCACACAGATGAGCTGGCAAGTTTCAAAGGGAAACTTGACTGAGGAACATGTGGACCAAATGGCAGTTTTTCAGGATGACAAAACAAAGCTGTATAAGGTTACCATCACTCGGACCATCCAGGTTCCCATGGATACCCACATTAACATCAGCTGCCTGGTTTACCCAACATGGAAAATGGAAAGCCTTGTCTCAAAGTCACTATGCATTGGTGCGTCTTGCTTTGGCCATGCTGACTTTTCAGCCTTTAGGTGCCATGAATATTGAGGTGCATTGGGACACAACAGTCACTAGTGAAGGTTAAGGCAGTCACCATCAGTGTAAAACTTTTATTTTATAAATAACAAAAAGTGGCAAAAAGTTGAACCTAATATTCTAGTTGGTAAGCCCCAAATTATCCACTCAGACCCACTGCCTTTCACACAGAAGTGCTTTCATTAGCCCATCTCTAATAACTGAGCTACATGATTCTTGCTGAATGGAAACCCCTAATTCCAGTATACTGCTGCTGTTCTATAATCCACTATGAAAGTGTATGTCAAAGTCTCCTGTACTGGCTGAGCCAAAGAAAGGCTTACAATTACATCTGTAGCTCAAGTTGGAGACATCTGAGCTGTGGGACTAAACAACTAACATTCAAACCCTGCTGTGGGCACATCAGAAGATGTCAGCATTGTATATGAGAGAACTTGTTTTTTAATCCCCTCCCCATTAAAAAAAAAAAGCCCTTTTTAATTCACACTGTGAGGAAAAATCCTTTAGTGCCCTTTAGCACGTTTTTTAATTTGTACGTGAGGACATGAATGGATCAGGGTAGAGGAGCTCTATATGCCAGTCCCTTGTACATATTTGTGTCCCCTTGACAGGTTGGGTGTTCTTGCAGGGTGAAGCATATCTCATCTTCCAGAGGGAATGGCAGTAGGGTAGAAAGCAGGGTTGAGTAGGCATGTTCTCTGCTATTGCTGCTGCAGTTGTCTGTGTCCCATTTAAAAAAAAACATGAGGGGGTGGACGCTCCGTTCCTCAAACATCACAATAGGGAAATACGATTCATAGATAAATCTTCCAAGGACAGGACACAGCCTCTTATGCCCTTCACAAAGATCAATACTCCCAAAGATGACTATAGCAGTGAAGGTAGCTTCTCTCCCTGACTGAGGGTCTACCCCAGTGATACACCAACCCTATATTGGCACCCAGGAGTTAAACTCAAGTGAAATTCAATTCAGCTTGCCTCAGGATACCCCCAACCAAACCTAAACTTTTAAGGACATGATAATAACAAATTAAGGGAAAACTCCCCTGCATTCTGCGCCTCTTTCATATCCCCCTGCAACACTATGAATAGCACAGTAGAACATATCATATGTTCTATGACTTCCACCTCCAACAGTTACCAAGAAATATTTAGTACAGTTCCTCAAATTTACACTCTAGCACAAAACTTTAACAGAAGTTTCACATGCACTTATATCAAGAGATCAACACATCTAACTGTTATACATTCCATGCTTTTAGGAAACTATTTTCCCTTAATATTTTTGAGGTGGCCATTAAGATTTCAAGCTCAAATAAAGCAATGTAAAAGCAGCAAGGAATGCTGGAAACGTTTTTGCATTATCTTTTGATTTATGTGCTTTGATGGTTTGGGCTAGATGGGATGGGTCATAACTGTCATTAAATGAGTTTATCATCAGTGTTAAAGATTTAAAGTCTGTACTCCTTTCTTTATTCAGCACCAGAACCAGTAACACCAGTCATGCACCCCATTATTCTGCTTGCAGTTGGGTTGATATCTGGAGTGGTCATAGCTGGTGTGGTCCTTGTGATGGTGGTGAGAAAGAGGAGTAGATGTAACACTTCTACCAGCCATTGTAAGTTTTTGCTTCCCATTCAGTCCTGCTTTTTTCCACATCGCAGTTCTTCATTTGAGTCCCTCTGAACATTATCCTTCATCTTACAGTCAAATGGAAATAGCTAGTTGATAATACACTGGCTATCAGCATGCATACTGAACAGCAAGGAATCAATTAAAATTGCAAAACAAAACTTCTTAATATTTTATATCTAAAACACCACTTCATCTCTGGTTTGCACAGAGATGGGAATCTCCTGAGGACACCCTTTCCCCTGAGATATCATATCAGACTCTTCTTGTTACTGGCGAAGTGATTTGGTTTTAAATTTTGGTCAGTGACTTAAAGACTAGGAGTATAGGGATCAGGATAAAAGAGGAGATTATGAGATTTCATTTGAACAGCTAGATAGGCAGAGGTGGGAAAACAGATGGGAATAGGAAAGGATTCTTTATGTCAATTAGCATAGCTTAGTCTTGATTAGAAGAAATTATGTTTCTCTAAGCCATCCCCCTTACTGATGATATCTCCAACAGGAGTGGATGGATGTCTTTGCACCCAAGAGGAAAGGTGTGTGCGCCATCTGATATGTTAGCAACTTGGTTACACTCACTATGCTGGACAACTGTGTACCCACTCAAGGGCATCCTCTTTCCAGCAGCATGTCCATATACCAGCATATCCATGTATTCCTCCCTATCCCCAGTTCCCTTATCAGACTGACGTGTTCTTCTCTCTTATCCTGCATGTAGCTCTCACAGTCTTAAAATATTTCCACATCCTTAGTCCCACCCCTCTGCCAGCTTCCCTCCCTGACAGATTTGGCTCATCTGTCATAGGAGTTGTGGAAACTTATTTTGTCTAGCACCACTGCCAGCTGGAGCAAGACTGTAGCAAAACCAGTAAATAGTAATAGTGACAAATTCATAGTAATTAATAGTAATTAATTTGTCAGCTTCCCATATCAGTTACTCCAGATGCTATACTGAAGGACCTGTCTTCTGAATGAGAACTAAATTTAGTCTTCATTTTTAGTCTGTGCTTGAATTCCTCCATACTGCTCCAGCACTGAATCCCAAAAGTCCTGCAGTTACCTCAAATCAAAAGGATCCTACTCCTAATATGGGAGTGCTGTCCTTTCTTGTATCAAGAATAAAATATGTTCCCCAGACACTCTGGGCCTACATTTGTTCACACAGCCAAACAGAGTGCAGTCCCCAGCAGACGTAATTCTCTTCGAGGGGCCTTGTCATGCAAAACACTTAAGACATGTTTTATTTAGATCATAGTTGGCACATCTACATGTGCACTTTAATGTGCAGTAACCCGTTTTACTGAACATTCGAGTATCACAGCAAAAACTGTGTTAATATGCTAATGCAAGTAAAATTAGGCTACTGAGTAATGAGCATCACTAAAAAAGCATGTGCTTTCACTACTGTGCATAGGACAGCCTAATGCACATTTAGTTAGTACCTCATATTAGAGGTGCTAAATTTAATGCATGATAGAAAAAGCGCATTAATGAACATGTAGACTCACCTAGTAAGTATTACTGTGCCATACTAAAAGTTAGAATGTGATCTGAGCCATGGGCGACTGGTGCTGCCTTAGTCGGGGGGGGCCTGTGCCCCCCCACCCCACGACCAGTCTTGCACTGGGGTGGGGGTTTCCCCTGGGCGATCCTGCAGGGGGGGGGGTGTCCCCCAGGCAATCCCGTGACGGCTGATCACTGTGATCACTGTAACCGCTTCTGGGAGTGGCTGGG